GAAGTGTGAAGTAGCTCAAGTAAAATGATGATGCTCAGCAATCTCAAGAGAAATACATGAATAGATGAAGAGACTCAGCTTCAAGCTTTCAATCTGAAGATCAGATCTGATTAAGCTTAGAGAACATGAGAACTAATCATCTGTGCAAGAAGCTAAACATAAAATACAATCAATATACTGTGCTAGAAAAGATAGAATTTCATACTTATTGACTGAATGTCTCATCTGACATTCACAATGTCTTTAATGTAAAGCTTCTACATGCTGTGATGACAGATTCTCTGCCTAGTCAGAGGCAAACTGACTGGCAGTCACTCACTATAGAGATCTCAGAAGGACCTGAGTTTGAGATTGAGAAAATTTGAGATGAATGAATCTACTGAAGAAAAAAGCAATATCTTGTTAAATGAGTAGGTTGAGCTGAGTCTATGTGAAATGATATGAGTCTTCTATAAGAAGTGAAGGTCTTGAATGCTTGAAAGACCTCTCAGCAGGCAAAATTAGATGTAAAAAGAGCTTTAAATAGTTGTAAAGGCCTGCAACAAAGAGGAAGAAGAAGAATATTATAAAAGATTAAATCTTTAGATTTGCTCTGACTGACTGACTCAGCCTAGTTATCATTCACATGTGCACATGTGATCATGCTACATGAGCTTGCTTAAGCTTGAGTTCTCATCTCATTCTTTTCTTCCCTTTCTCAAGCAATTTGTCCTTGTTATATAAGAGGACTAGCCTCTAGTTTTTAGAGCTTAATCCTTTACAATTTATAATTATACTGAGATTTATAATTAAATTATAAAATTTTTTATTAATAATAATAAAAATATTAATAATAAATTTTATAAATTAAAATTATTATAATTTTTTAAATTTTTTATTAATTTAATATTTTATATAACTAATTATAAAAATATATTAAATCTCTTTTTATATAAGATTAACTTTATATTATATATAAACTTTGATATAATTGACTTTTTAAATTTTAAATAATTAAACTTTGAATAATTTTTAATATAATAAGCTAGTTACTGAAAATAACTGATAATTAATATATAAAAAAATAGAAAAAAAAATTTTTAAAAAAAGATATTAAGTATAAAAAAAATTAGACTTCTTTAAAAAAAACTTTAATATTAAAAAACTTTTATATAAAAATAATTTAAATATTATTTTAATAATATAAAATAAAAATATTTATATAAAAATCTTAATAATAGCAATATTACTTTATAATATGATATATAAAATCTTAATAATAAAAATATTATATAAAAATTTCAATAATATAAATACTATTTGATAAAGTTATACTGAGAGTACTAAAAATCTCAATTATTTATATAATAATAAAGTTTAAATATCATATAAGTTAAAATATAGTTCTTTATAATAATTATTTTAAATAATTAATTTATTATATTATTAATTTTTTAATTAATAAATTTTAAATTATTTAAAAAAGTATTTATATTTTTATTAAAATATAAATAAAGAAATATAAAAAATTTTAGTACTTTATTAAAAATTAAATATAAATTATATAATAAAAAATCCTCTATATTATTAATTAATATATAATAAAATATTAAGTTTAGTAAAAAAAATATTAAAATTTATTTAAATTATAAAATTTATATTTATTTAAATTTATAAAAATTTTAAATTTTTTTAAAAAAAATTAAATTAATTATATTTAAATATTAATTATACTATAAAAAAATTTTAAAAATTTTTATTTAAATTTTATTTTATTTTTATATATTAAATATTATATTTTTTAATATTTTATTATTTATTAATATATTTTTAATTTTTTTTTAATATGAAATTAAAAAAAATTTAAATTTTTTTTAAATAATATTATTAATTTTTTTTTATTTTTTTTAAAAAAATTACTTTTATAAGTAGATATATAAAATAAATAAATTTAAATATTTTTATTTTTTAATTTATTTTTTTAATTTTTTTTAAATTTATTTAAAATTTATTTAATTATTTTAAGTATTATATTTTTAAAAAATTTTAAATAATAATTATATTAACTATTATAAAAGTCTTTTAAATTATAAATAACTCAATATTAAAAACTTTATATTATATTTAAAATTTAATTTAAAATATATTAAAGTTAAATTAATTTTTAAATATTATTATTTATTTTTAAATTATTTAATTATATTAATAATAAAATTTCTTTTATTAATATTTTATAATTTTTAAATATATATAAATTTTTTTAATAAATTTATTAATTAAAATATTTATTAATAAATTTATTTTTGAAAATAAAAATTATTTTAATTTATATCTATTATTTATTTAAATTTAATAATTATTTTATATATTTTATAAAGTTAAAAA